CCCACCCCCCCTCCGTGGGCGACAGCTGCTAGTGAGGCCCTGTGCGCTAACTAGCAAGTTACTGGCCGGCCTGGCGGAGGCACAGAAGTCCCGGCTCCCAGGGAAGGAGAAACACTGCAGGGAGTAGGATGGGGGGCTGGAGGGTCTTGATCCACAGAGGAGGGATTAGATCTCTCCCCCCCCCCCCACACACACACACAGGAGTAGGGCGAGAGCCCAGATCTACAGCCTTGCTGGGCTGATGCTACAGTGCGGATGTACCTGGAGAGCTCGGAGACCCTCCCAGCTTGCTGGGTTAACAGCCCAAGCAGGGATGACTGCATTCTCCTTTTTTGCTGCCCTACAGTCCTGAATATATAGAGTTTAGGGTTACCGTATTTGAACTTTCATAAAAGAGGACACTCCTGAGAGGGAGTGTATCTGTATCAGTATCTACCCACTTCATGTTGCATTAACATATATACTGTATAACACATTAATACAATGTGAGTTGGTGATACTGATATAGATGCACTCCCTCTCAGGAGTGTCCTCTTTTTTGAAAGTTCACATATGATAACCCTAGTTGAGTTGCCCACCCTTCTGCCAGACACACATCTTTGTATTGAGTGTTTTAACTCCTGATATTTAGGCATCTTGCAGCCCAGTGGGATTGTTAAACCCTGAGTTAGGTGCCCAGTCTCCATATACAATGCACAGGGTGAGTTAGGCTCCAAAGAAAATAATTTACAAAAAAACAGCACGTCAAACAGGGAGCTGTCCAACCTAGTAGTAGGCAATGCCAAGGAAGGTGTGGAGTCTAAGCTTATCTTTCAGAGTTAGGTGCCAGAGTGTCTCAAGGCTGGAGAGAGAGAGGGCCTCTCTCTACAGGGAGTTACAGATTTGAGCCAGGATCCTCTCCTGAGTGAGGCACCGAAGGTCACATTAGGCATCTTTTTCATGAAAAACTGAAGAGACACCATTATATCAGTAGACCGTGATCAGGATAAGAAAAGGGGTAAACAGTGAGGTGGCAAAATTTGCAGCTGATACCAAACTGCTCAAGATAGTTAAGACCAAAGCAGACTGTGAAGAGCTTCAAAAAGATCTCACCAAACTAAGTGATTGGGCAACAAAATGGCAAATGAAATTTAATGTTGATAAATGTAAAGAAATGCACATTGGAAAAAATAATCCCAGCTATACATATAATATGGTGGGGATTAATATGGCTACAACTACTCAAGAGCGAGATCTTGGAGTCATTGTGGATAGTTCTCTGAAGACATCCACACAGTATGCAGCAGCAGTCAAAAAAGCAAACAGGATGTTAGGAATCATTAAAAAGAGATAGAGAAGAAGACAGAAAATATCATATTGCCTCTTTATAAAATCATTGTTCTGCCACATCTTGAATACTGCCTACAGATGTGGTCGCCTCATCTCAAAAACAATATACAGTCAAACCATTCATGGAGTTGGTGAGCTGATGACCCAGGTTGTACTCAGAGGTGGAGGATTCTTACCCATTACTCCACTTGCTACTGCTCCTGAGGGTAATGTCAAACAGAGTGAACCGGAGAAAGAAGACATCCTGGTGATGGACACCAAGCTGAAAATCATTGAAATACTTCAGGTATCAGAATTGCAATGGCAGCAGGGTCTCAAATCCTGTGAGGTGGTGCTTGTATGTGATGATGTGGTTTTTTTAATGTAGTGTTAGGGAGGTGTTTGAGTGCGTAAGGCCTTGGCTGGGATGATTTTGTTGGGTTTGGTCCTGCTTTGAGCAGGCAGTTGGACTAGAGAAGCTCCTGAGGTCTCTTCCAGCCCTAATCTTGGATTCTATGACACTGACCCTTTCATTCCATTGCTGTCTGGATTGTCTTCTCATACTGGGTGGCTGGAGGGGAGGAGTGTTGCAGACGTGAATACTTACTCCTGTGAAACACATTTTCCACACTTCTAGAGCAGAGATGGTCTTGTGGGTGGGAGATGAGTTACACACATGCTGACTCACAACTGAACCAGTCTGATCTTTGGCCTTTAGACTCTTTCTGACACAGCAGGTCTTCAGCCACTTACCATGCTCTTTAACAGTTAATATTTTTTTTACATGGCTGATTTCCTGAAGAGGATAGTTCTGAACTGCCCTGTCAAGCAACTGCTTTTATGTGGGTGACTAAAATGACATACAATGCCTTCGTTGCATAACTCTACAGCAAGAGAAGTGTCCAGAGTATAGAGTAAAACACATGCGACTAGTCTCTAATTTTTCCTAAGTCTTGATAATAAGCCACTGATGTCATGAAGCCATAAGAGTGAGCTTAGCCCCCATGTCCACCAAACATAATGTTGTGGCAGTAATGCTTAAAGAGCAAGGAAAGGCTATTTATAGGAAGAAAGGAGAACAGTCCCTGCCCTTACATGATGATACAGTGTAATTCACATAGGCCTAAATACTGTTGGTGCCCCTTGCTGGGTAAAAGCATGCCAAACAGCAGTAAAGCTACGCATAAGGCAGGGGTGGCCAACCAGTTAGAGACGAAGAGCCAAAATAGCAGCGGATAGGGTGTGAAGAGCCACGTATTATATATTTAATTTTAAATATCTATAGATAGATATAGTACACAGAATGTAGTGATTAAAAATAACATTACATGACATTTTGGACAAAAACCAATAAAAAAATCTCTAGTCACTTACAAAATTTACGGCCAGTCCTTAGTTCTTCAGAGAACTTGACAAGGAACAAACATCAAATTTAAAAAAAAAAAATTTAAATACAGTAGTATTCTATGGGGTTAGTCTGTCTGGCCACAGGGGGATGCTCAAATTCTCTAGCCTTATGTGCTCCTTCAGAGCCCATACAAAAGTTGCTCCAAAGAAAAGGGTTCTACAAAGAAGATTCTCACAAGATGAATGAGAACTATTCCAGAGGCCTCTTCATCTAAGAGGAATGTTGACTGCCACCTGGAATGGGTCCCATATGAAGAGAGATTAAAAAGACTGGGATTTTTCAGTTTAGATAAGCGGAGACTAAGGGGGGATATGATAGAGGTCTATAAAATCATGACTGATGTGTAAAAAGTGAATAAGGAAAAGTTCTTTACTTATTTCCACAATATAAGAACTAAGGGTCACCAAATGAAATTAATAGGTAGCAGGTTCAAACCAAACAAGATGAAGTTTTTCTTCACTCAGCACACAGTCAACCTGTGGAACTCCTTTCCCAGAGGATGTGATGAAGGCTAGGACATTAACGGGGTTTAAAAAAGAGCTAGATAGATTCATGGAGGTTATGTCCATCAATGGCTATTAGCTAGGATGGGTCAGAATGGTGTCCCTAGGCTCTGTGTGGAAATGGGTGATAGGGGAGGGATCATGTGAGGATTACCTGTGGTGTTCCCTTCCTCTGGGGCATCTGATATTGGCCACTGTCGGCAGACAGGATACTGGGCTAGATGGACCGTTGGTCTTACTCAGTATGGCCGTTCTTATGTTAGAATACTGATTTGGGATGTTGGGAGACCCATTTTAAAATCTCTGCTCAGCAACGGGGACTTAAACTTGGTTCCTCCATATCCCAGGGAGTAACTTAACCGCCAAACTACATAGTGATCCAGTACACTGTTTCTTTTTCTACTCATTCAGAGCTAGTTCCTCTTGCACTAGATATTTCCTTCCAATCACATTCCCCATCCTGGCAATAATGATCATTGCATTTGAACCACATACACTTTCTAAAGCAGGTGTTACAGTGTGAGTATATAATGTGTGCATCAGATTGATGTATATTGAAATATATATGTATGTGCTCTAAATGATACCATGTGTAAACTTCAAAGTATGTTGCTAACTTTAATTGTTTACATTTTCTTACAAAAACAAACCTGAATATTTCCTTCATTTCTGCACAAACTCTTCCAAACTTATGAAGTGATTTTTTCCCCTTATTAGCATTACTTTGGAAGTGGAATTTCAAGTTGCTTGTTGATATTGGTAGAATGTTATGGCTAAAAGGTGTTGAAGAAAACTTTCAAATATGAATGACAGAAACATGTAAACCTACATATTATTGAAACCGTATAATGTGCCCCAATTGTCAAGAAAAAAAAATCATCTCTGGGATGAGAAGTAGCTTTTAGTATTTCAAAGTGATGGCCTGGCTTAGATCCAGCACAGCATTTAAGGATGCGTATAAATTTGAGTACATGATTATTCTCAGTAATTTCAGTGGGACTATTAACATACTAAAAATGATGCATGGGATTGGGATTCAAAGGTATACTATCACATATATGTTTATATATATGTGCACTGCTTTTCTGTCTATACTGATTTGATAGCTACTTGGAGTAGGGATTTTGCCTTACACTTGTAGAGCAGCAAATATACATTTGCTCAAATGTTTTCTTGGCATATTACAATGCAATATAAGCAGAATGCATTGTACAATATTTGATATAAATGTCTTTTCTTTAAGTTTAATTTTCTGTCTTTTGACTTACAGAGTAATAATGTCAAATAAGGAGGTGAAGGCAGCATTAAAAAGTGCCAGAGATGCAATAAGAAATAAAGAATACAAAGAAGCCTTAAAACATTGCAAGGTAATTAATTCTTCCATTTGTATAAAAATTGTGCATCTATGTACAAATTCCTATCTATTTCCTGTGCACTAGATCCATACTCTACACTTCCTGTAGTAATGTACATACTCATTTTACGTACTCAGTAATGTACACGCTCATTTTAGCAGTGTTCACAGTGAATAATTTGCTTTGGGATAATCAATAAAGTCTTTGTGGAAGAATCCTTCCTTTCTTGAGTAAAGATGAAGTTTACCAGAGTCAGAAAAAGGCCACCCTTTCAGTTCACACACTGAATCTTATTGCTAGACAATAGATATTGTGGTTTGTTGTGATGTTGATTTTAGTAGTTGCCCATATTAGTGTGTCCAGAAATGGTGATCAGATTTCTTCCGCATATGCTTAAATCCAAAGAAGAGGGCAGCAATCCTCAGGTGACTATGACAAAAGTCTATTTTTACCACAGAATTTAGAGTGATCCTGTATCACTAGGATTATTCAGATGCAGTTTCTTCTTGCTAGGGAATGATACCAATTAGAACATGAACCTTTT